ACTTCTTATTCTCTAAATTCAGCTTCAATTCTCAGTCACAAAATATGAGCTACTGGTGCTGTGCAACCTGGCACTGCTCTACCAACTCCGTTTAAATAACATTTAAGTCAGAAGGGTCTTGCTCTGTGTGTTTTCAAGTCCGTAGTTACACACTATATCATTCTGCAATGCTATTTAGGTTGCAGAGGATTTATTGCATTAAGTAGACAGTTAGATTAGACCTAGTATAGGTTTTTTTTTCCCTGCAGTTCTTTGAAGTAAGGCATTAAATGGAGCGTTGCTATTTCTGTTTTACTAGATGTTGTTGTTTTGCATGAACCAAACATATGTTTATCCTAAAATAAATTTCTTAATGCCATATGCCACAAAGATAGCAAGAACATCAAGTTTAAGCAGTGGACATGTGTTCAGTTGTAAACATGGACATATTGACTATCCGTGTTGATATAATCACAGTGAGATAAACCTAATTTCAATCCAGTATATTCAGTTTCTTAACCATGTTCCAGAAAACCCTTGTTGAAGGTCAGAATATATGAAAAGGCATAAGCTTATGAATGCCAGCACACTTTGTAGGCTGCAAGCTGGTTTTGCATGGAGAGATCAGCTTTTTAGTCTTAAGTGAAGTGTAATTGGTATAAATATGACTTACACTCTGTAATAAGGAAAATAATCTCTCTTGACAAAAAGCCACCCTAACAGAAAATCATAGCATTTAACTGTTCTTATGTTCAAGAAGACTTTTTTCCTATCACACAGAGGTTTGCAGTGTTAAAACCAAGGCACCATATTTTGAACCAAAATATTGTTTACTTAGATACAGCTTCCAATTGCACTGTAAATTCCATTCCTGAAGATACTGAGCATAAAAAGCAAGGGGCAGCTTGCCCTTGACATGAATAGAGTACAAATTAATTACTACCCACCCTGTCTTAACTGGGTATGTAAGAAACTAAAGCATTACTCTGTAGCTGAAACTCCTGACCAGAATCCCCCCCATCCCTAAATTCACCTTGAGTAGAGTTTATTCTTACAGGACTACTAGTGGTATATTTTATCACTGTTTTCACATCTTTGTTTTTTAAAGTGTTGCACAATTGCCTAATATGTACGTGCAACATTTTTAGCTCTTCGTCATCATGGGAATAGGTGCAGCTGGAGAATTTTCCCTGTGTTTTATTGTTTTGTCAATTTTTTTGTTTTTCCCTTTCCTCATTTATTGGTAACCTGGCTTTCAGAGAATGCTTTTTATTAAGTGTTTTTGTGTGGTGCATAATGCTCAAGGGATTCAATCTCCTAAGCACAATAAGAAAACAAACACTGTTAGCAGACTCCCAGAGAGAATTTATGTGAATGTCAGTATGTTCTTCCTTAAATACAGTTCCGTTCTTGATTTTGCGATAGCTCATAGTATTATTTGTTCTGTTTCTCAGTACTCTCAGCAATGAAGGGCCCAAAATCCCAAAGTGGGTAGATTTCACAAGGAATCACTTATATTGTAATGTGCTGTTTCTTTCAGTGTTGACCTTTACCTATGCAAAATGTAGAGGAAAACACTTGAGTTAATCCTTCCAAATCTGTTGCAGGTGTAGAGATAGCCAATGCAATAGCTGTTTGGTTTTTGCCGTTTGTTTTTAAAAAAGAAAGCTTTAGTCTTTGGCTAATGCAGCCTGATGCTGCATCACTCAATCTAAATTTTGACAGAGACTTCAAGGGTCGGAGCCTTAGGCCCCAAATACTCCAAACTTCAGGGGTAAGAGGAATTTCTTCTGTTATTTTCATTTTGGAAGCTATCTTGCAGTGATCTGATCAAATACATGACTATGACTCGCATATCAAAAACATATAAAGCAGATAATGAAAATTATATCTCCTAGTAAAATTGTTTCTATAAATATTCATAAATTTGATCAAAAAACCCACTTTTCTTCAGAGTTTGCATTACCTTACATTTACAAGAAAAATGCAACTACTGTTCAAACTACATTTATTAGGTAATTGATCTATATCTGGGCAGTTTCACAAAGGTCAAATACATTTCTTGATTAGGGTCTTTATAATTTTGTATTCCATCCCCTGTGTTATCCATAATGTTTCCAAACATTACCAAGCATTTTTTCCCTCTGCTCCCCCCATTTTTTCCTCCCGTACTCATCACTGCCTGCTTCTTTACAATTTCTGCTACTGTAATAACACAGGGGATTGATTTCTTTTGTTTGTGTCCACTAGACTTTTTTAGCTTTCCATTTTGGCTCCTTCTAAGGAGGAATTCAACTATACGTTCACATTCACCTCCCCATATTACTTCAGTGGCATAGCAACCGTAACCTGCAGTGCCAGGAGACAGCCTCTCATGAGTGAGTGTGGAGGACTCCCTGCTTCTTACAGGAATTTTCAACTGCTTCTTCCACTCCTGCCTGCCAGTGAAGGAGTTTAAAAAGTCTATGGAATGGAGACCTAATGGCAAACACAAATGTGATGCACCTGCATCTAAAGGTGTAGAATCAAACCAAGACAAGGTTCTACCAAGAATATCAAAGAAATAAATTGCATACATATCTAAAAATGAAAAAAAATACCCCAAATTTGCAAAATACCTTTGAGCTGTTGAGATTTTATTGTTGTTTTATTCCTCAGTGATAATGTAGGTTTTTCATCAATGACATATTCCATTTTCATCTTGGTTCAAAATAGCAACAGGCAGATTATCACTTCCATCCCAGGACTTTCAAAGGCACAAAAGGAGACTAAGGAAAAGAGAAGTTTCACCTTATTCCTGATCCACTGGATGTACAGTGGCTGCACAAAGAGGCTAATACTGTTTTTGGATGTCATATGCTTCCATTTCTTCTCTTGTCTAGGATTTGACAGTTTTGCAGCCACTGTGTGATGTGTGAATTTCAGCTTATCCACAGAAGACTAAACTACCAAAATAATTTTCCATCAGATCAGAAAAAGAGTCTGTCTTAATATGTGGGCCCATAGTTGTTATAATTTCTGCGGGGGAAGAAGGAGGGCATGTGGCTAGGGGAAGGAGTGGAAATGCCTGCTTTAGTAATATGCCATAATTAGCAATTTGTAGTAATTGTCAAGCCATGTTTTTTGGCACCAGTAGTCCGCTAACGCTTTTAAGTGCTCTAAAGATAAATATCTATAAAGATAAAATCTGTAAAGAATTAAAATAATGAGAATTGTGTAGGACCTATACTCATTTAAATAGATGGATGCATTAAAAGTGCTAAGTTATGTAATTAAAAGTTCTTCCACATCAAAAACACCCTTTTCCAGAGCCCATGTGAGCAAGTTAATTAGCCTCCATCAAATAACAAGGGTTCAGATGCTGCTCAGTGATAATACCTGTAAGATTCAAATACAATTATCATTTAGTAGTTTCATTTTAACACTAAAGACTTTGCACTGCAGACTTCCCAGGTAAGCCCAAGAGTACTATGAATACCTAGTTGATTTTGTTGCAGGAATATGCAGAAGTGACTCTTCGTAACCAATGAAGACAATACTGATAAGGAATTTTCAAAATTAATTTGCTTTTTGGTCTTGCTAGTCTTGAAGCAAGATAAAATTGTTGGAGAAGAGGTTTACTGGTACCCTACTCTGTGCTATTACAAACTCTTGAGTGCTGAGGAGCAAATCCTCAAATGCACACATCAGACTGCACACTGCCATCATCAGACCCAGAACTCTACTTACAGAGCTGGCAGAATTGCATTTTGCAGGCCTGTACACCAAGATGACACTGGGCCAGCCTGTCTATTTGTGTTTGTTTATTTAATGTCCCTTGGGAAAGACAGGACTTCCTATGGGATATGGCTATGTGAGAAAGGGAAAGGGAGCTGTGTTAAGAAAACACCATAGATGAGCACTTACTTGACTATTTCAGCTGAACGTTTTCAGACAGCTCTCTTAAGTCACAGTTGTTTGTTACAAGTCAAGATATTTTTCCTTATTGAAAGGCTCTATGCCAAATCTGAAAGCAGCTTAAATCTTAATGCAATATTGATGTATCATTTACATGTTTTGTTTGTAGCAAACTCCAAGTAAGTCTGAGTCAAATGGAGTGTTACTTCTAGAAAACATTATCTGTTAATTTAGTATGGTAATGTGGGAAGTTTTTTCCTGCATGAAAAAAGTTAAATCCTTTGCGCCAAATGCAGTTAGATATTTTTCAGGTTTCATAATACCAACCAAAACTGAGAACTATTTATGTGAGAGTAAAGAAACCTGTATAACAAGTATCCCATTGTTTTACTAAACAGAGAAACAAGAATTTATAGCAACCTAAGGCATGAATTATGTCTCACGGCTGATGTAGTGGTGATTTTGGAGATAAAGGTTTTCTATTATTAAGTGCAAATAGGATACCAGTGGCATTTTTTTTCATGTGGACAAAAGCCTTTGCTATGAATTCTCACCTGGAAGGGCAGTTTTAAATCTGAATTAACATGAAAGGAATTAGCAGTGTTTTGTTTTAACTTCCAACTGACTTGGGGTTGAGGAAAGAAGTTGGCAACATGTAAGGAATAGCACTACTTCATGTCTGTATTCCCCCCCAAACTAATCTCACAAAACTATCCTGAAAACCAGTGACTTTGGCACTGTACAGTAAGATTCCAATTTACCAAAACCCTCTCAAGTTGTTACTTTCACCAATCTAAATTGCAGTAGGTATTTCAGGGGAAACTTTAACTTAATTTTCCAATTCTACCGTCAACTAGTGAGGCTACAAAACATTACATGTTTAACCTCTTGAAAACTGCCCAAATATGTAAATTCAATAGGGTAAAAGGTTGAAGAAGTCCATTTGTTAAAGTACAGTCATGATCTTGCATCTCCGATTCTCCTCCCTTGGAGCATGGGAGGAAAATCCTGTATTCTGTAAACATAAAATAGTAACATGCCAATGACAGAAGTATCTTTTTCTTCTCTCCTTTATTTCTGTGACCTTTCTCTCATAGAAGAAAGACTGCACCACAACCTATGTGTTAGACATAACGTACGCAAAGCTTTATTTCATGACATGTAACGCTTGTTAAAACTTGCAGTGATAAAAGCTCACTGTTCTTTCCCCTGTGCTGCCCTTGTGATGACACTCAAGCTTCATGGGTGGCTGATAATAATCACAAAATCTACTGTGTGCTCTTTGCTTGTTCCTCCAGTCATTGTGCAACACATCGAGTTCACAGCATTGGAAACTTCCTGTAAAACTGCCATCTAATAAGCTATATTTAAAAAGAAATCCAACTCCAGTCCAGTTTATTTGTCAAAAACTCCTACATAGTTGAACTTTTTCCATGGGAAAAACTACCTAAGGCCCCTTCCTGCTAATTGCAATTCTTTAGTCTGTCTTTAAAGACCCAATATAATTTCCAAATCTACTCAAGCGTAAAACATTTAGTTCCTGCTATTTTTCTTTTATTCAGTTGTTGAAATGAAGTTTACACCACAGCCTCTGCCCTTAGCTTTGGCCCAGGAAAACTGCTATTTCTAACTAGTACCTACACATACCTACACACCTAACACTGTGCTTTTATCAACTTTGCAGAGAGCTGTTACTCTCTTATAGTGTGACATTTGAGACGCAACAAAATAAATAAAACTAGGGACACAATACATGGACTGCAAAGTTACCTTTCCTGCCCCATTAATTTCCTTGTCCACTTTATCTATCACATAAACCAAGACAGGTGTTTCAGGCAGGTGTTGGGAAGTCCCTTTCAATGGGAAGAGGAAAAAGAAGAAAGGGTGAAAAAAAACCCAATGGCCACTGCTGCAACTTGTACCTGTGAAATACGATGCACAGCGATAAAACGCAAATAGAAGCAACTGATTTTCCACACTTACTACTGTTAAGAAATGCCTTTTAGATGTCGTGTTCAACACAGCTGTTGAATGTAACGGCACAGTGAATCTGGATGGTGAATCCTCCTTTCTTCAGCCTCAAAACCAAAAAGGAATTCCATCTCTTGTGGAACGGAGTTCTGATCCTTCCATATGCGCAGACTACTTCATGCTGGAGACCCATTGGAGACTTCTTCAGCAACTTAGACATAGTCAAATGATGAAAAAACATGATCCAGCAGGACCTCTGTCATTGCTTGCAGTTACTGAAGAACCTGGATTTTTTTACAGCAAAATCAGTGGTTCAGTTTAAAATTTGAACTATCAGACACAGGGCTTACTTACTAAATAAAAAGGAGTATTATGGGACATCTGAAGTCTTCAAAATGCCCTCTTCAAGGTTGTTCAGGAATACCATCCTCTTTTAGTACTTGGTAGTTTCTGAGAACTGTGTATACTTGTAATTCTGAGGAGCACAAAGATAGCTGAACACTTCACACCTATGAAACTCTTCAGAACTATGGACACCCCAGACCTTTAATTTTACGCATGCAGTTTCACAACCTAGTATCCAAACACATATTAGCAGTTTGCTCACCACATAGATATGAAAACCATGATTCTCCATGTGAATATGCTCTGAAAAGCCATAAATCAACAGAAAGACAGGTTTAAAAATTTTCAATATTGAAATTTATTTCAAACTCAGGGGTTAAGCGTGGTAAATTTCCAATGGTCTGATAATAGCACACCCATGTCGCTATTGCAGAAATTGCACTAATTCCCTCTGCCACCCTCCCCCTTAGAAATCTGGTTAGTTTTAACATCCGATGGTTTTGCAAATAGTGTGGCTCTAGGACACTACTGCATTTCCTGAGTGTTCAAAGCTACTGTATTATACATTAAACTGAAGGAAAAACAATTAAGTTATTATTCAGAACTAAACCAGCTATTTTACCTTGCTGCTGAAGTATGGAATCATAAAATGCAATGTATTTTAACAGGAAATAGTTTTGGAACGCTTAAAGAGGGGAAAAAAAAGGAAACCCCAACTTTTTTTTTAAAAAGACATCCTTTTTGCCTCAATTTTAAACTAAATAGTTTTAAACTTCAAGTCATTAACATCCAAACTATTAAAAATGGCCAAAGAACGTACAACTTGCTCAGACTGAAATGTAGTTGGGACTAAAATATCCACGTCGGTATTCTTTGACCTTTTAGGGTATTCCCAGTGGCTCTAACAAAAGCAGCACAACAGGTTTGTGTTTATCTTTTTTAGTGCTCTTGAAAATGAGTTACTAAGAGCACTGACCAGAGTGCTTAAACATAGGATTTCAGAGTATTGCCTTGCAACGCACTTCAGCTTTATTGTGCAAAACCCAATGTAGTCATAAACATCCCCACATTTAACACAATAAATTGTGCCAAGTATGTGATGTGAATGTCAGCTAATCCATCAACACTTTGACAAATGTCAGCTTGTCTATTCAAGCATTGTTCAAGCCCAGGGTAAAATTTCATTTGTCACAACTGAACTCCTCCACGGGCAGACTGCATAGTCTATGTAAGTTACTGGGCTTTGTCCAGAAAAATCTCTTCACAGCTGTATTCACTTTGGCAAACAGGTTTAGAGGAGAGTTTCAGCCCTCTAAATTCACCGTGAGTTAATACATCAGTAGAGGTCCCACCATCTGTTCATGGGATTTTTCCATGAAAGACCACAACCACTTCTTGATCAAAACAAAGCTGAAGCAGTGGCAGCTGATGGAAATGCTTAACCATGTTGTTCTGGCATAATTTTTATAATGCATTAGATTTATTGTCATTTACAGATGATTTTGGCAGAAGAGTTCTTATGGCTGCAGCTGAACAAAAAGCAACTTCTTTTCTCAAGTTTAATTTATTTTTTTTTGTTTCTTTATGGAAATGTTTTGAACAAAGTCCAGGCAGCTACCAGCAGGAACTACCAAGAGGTTATGTGTTCCACTCTAGTATTATGTCAGTGGCTTGCCAATCCTTTTCCCCTAAATATTTGTAAAAACATTGGAAATACCTATGAAATTTATAAAACAGCTCCTTAAACATCTGCTTAATGCCCTTTCCTTCAACTATAAAAGACCTCCACATTTCAGGGTCTTTTTCTGTGGATACAAGAGAGAGATCGAGGAAGAGGTAAAAGACAGGATAATTATCTTTTCAGTCATTATGTTACAAAATCTAAATGACTACTACTCTAAAGATTAAATACAGACTTTACATAACCAATCACAACAATGGAAATAAGCCATAACTGAAACCATATAAAATCCTTATCAGTTCAAGTGACAGTACATTAGTAATAGCCTTATAGGTTATACAGAAGATAATATACACAGATTCTAAATTATTTTTCCCCTTAAAAGCCACTGTCAGTATGATCACAGTCTTACTGTACGGACAAGTGACTTGAATATTTGTAAATACTAATGGGGAAAATCAAAGTTATAAAAGAAAAATGTATCAAGTACACCTTTAGACATGTCTATACTATGATTTAAATTAAAAGCCCTAAGCATTCTCCTACACATTCCACTTTCAACCTAAATGGAGTATCACTGTTAGTACACAAACCTCAGAGGGCACTGCTAATCTAATTAGTGTAACTATGCTACTATCTTACAAAGGAGATTAAGTTCAGATGTTTAGAAACCTTAACAGTAACAGAAAGTTAGAAACCCTAAGCAGCTACTCATATTTAACTATAATTACCTTTTAAAGAGCATTTGACTAAACTCCAGTATTTTCTATGGTCATTTATTAAAAGAAAGTTCTACCACACCTAAAGGATAAGGCATAGCCATCTACTAATTGGCATATTTGTTTATTTGTCTCAGTTTGTGAAAAGTTCCTTATTTGTGTAAGCAGCAAAACAAATTTCAACTGAATGATTGCTATATGCAAAAGGACTGAAGGCAACTGCCTCTGCAGTGAACTTTACAGTTCTCAACAGCACACACGCAACATGCTATCTGAAAAAGTTACTAACTGAACTACATGTATTAAATACTGAAAAAAGTTTTACATTTTTTATTATAATTTATTTTATTTAACAATCTAAGAAGTTTGCAGCCATCAGAAGTTCCAGTGCAATTTCAGGTGCAATTGGGAATTCAGGAATCTCCGTAGAGCTGTTAGTATAGCGGACCTTGTAGGTGAAATACATGCATACTTTGGATAGGACATGGGATGGGATCTCTCTAAAATTCACCTCATTTGTTTCATTTTCTGCAAACTGTCCTGTAGAAAAAAACAAAACACCAAACCAAAAGTCAGACTCTCAATTCACTGCAAGATGAAATGCTTTACCACGTGAATACAACACATTCTAAACAGACTTGTGTTAGTCCCATATTCCTAGGTATTCAGCATAAAGCAGGATGTGCTGCATTTACAACCCTCAAGAATATTAAGATCCCCTGCATTGCAAAATGTTTATTTTGGCTGCAGTCTATTAACAGTATTCTGAACAATTACACCAGAAATTTAGGTTTAATTCTGATGCTTGCTTGGTAGGTGCTCTTGTTCAGTTCCAAAGGTCACAACAATAGTATTACAATCGAAATTTCTAGCTGTCTTAGCCAAGAAAGAATAAGTCTATATGTTCTGTATCTGCATATGCATACTTATCAGTAGTCCCTTCTATGATCACAGTAACTTTGAATTTTCCAGTTTCAGGCAGATTTGACAGAGGGTTGAAACCTCAAAGACACATTAACTTGATAAGCTGTGAAAGCAGGCAGCAGGAGGGACAGGTAGGGGATGACACTACAGAAGAGAGAAAGCACTCGTGTCAACTTCTCCGTCTTTTCTCCTCCACCCTTTTGGTCTTCACGTATTACTTCAGACACTTAAACCAGAGGCAGTCTTATATATGCAGTAACATGAGGTCCTTCCCTGCTGCAAATTCATCTCCCCTCCTCTTAAGCTACCCTTTGTCATTAAAAACAGGAACTCTTTGCCATAGGATCTCATGACCATATTGCGGCCTAAACCCCAGCAAATGGCTAAGCACCACACAACCACTTGTTCACTTTCCCCTGCAGTAGACAAGCGAAGAGGAAAGGAAGAGCAAAAGCAAGAAAAGTCATGGGTCAAGATAAAGAACTGTTTAATAAGCAAAAGACAAGTGGAATTAAAAAGAAAAACAACTCATGCAAAGGTTATCACTCACTACCTCCCATGGGTAGACTGATGCCCAGTCAGTTCCCAAGCAAAAGATGGCTAAATAGCTAACCTCCTTAACCCACTTCTCTCCCTGTTTACTTCATGACATTGTATGGCATGCATTATCCCTTTTGTTAGTTTGAGTCACCTAACTGGTGGTGTTCCCTTCCAACCCCTTGCACAATACCCCCACCTATTCATGGGGGGGTGGGGAAGAGTGAGAAACAGATAAGGCCTTGACACTGTGCAAACCCTTCATAGCTAAAAAGTTTGGTGTGTTATCAGCATTGTTTTGGTCACAAATCTAGACCACGGGATCGTATGACCTGCTATGAAGAAAATTAACTCTCTACCAGCCAGACCCAGTACAGAATACTAAAGGCTCCACCATGGAGGTGGCAATGAAGAGCTACCAATTCCTCTTTGCTTTCAGCTTGACAGCTACACATCTCATGTAATGCCCTCAAGTTCTCACACCATGAGAAACTAGTAGTAATGATACTGTAAGGTCCCTAACTCTCCAAAAGCAGACAGAGTCTAATTATATGGCTGGTAGTACGATACCCCACACAGGTGAAATGTTCCACTGGAAACAGGAACTAGGCTGGATCTGGAAAAGTTACTACTTATTCCAACTTTCACACACTGTGTGATATAAATTCAAACCTGTCCAAAAGTGAGAACAAAGAACATGAAGGTACTATATCTTTTGTACTTACCTGGTCCACTCAACATAGCTTTTATTGTTCCCGATGTTAATGCATGTTCTCTTTTTACAATGAACTCATGGCCGTCAGAGGATATTAACTTCACATACATAGCATCTGGGCCCTCACACCCACCATATGTTTTCTCTTCTCCATCTATAATGGAAAACAGATTAATCATTTCAGAACACAATGAGTAATTCACATCACTAAGTATGCAAGCTTCTCTATGTTTACAAACCAAAGAGCCCAATATAATCAGATGTAAGACAGAAGCCTTTTGCCTTTTTGAAAATGGCTTCTCTGAATCACTCAGCTGTCTGTTTTGAAGACAGAATTTATGCAAAAGTAGGAACTTTTTTTGTTAATATCTCTCTCATTTCTCCATCATCAAATTCTGACATGATTTCCAAAACCTAAGTATGGATGAAATTTTCCTTTAGACATTATCAGGTGAATTGAACATACTACTGCTTCCCTCTGTAAGGCTACTGCCATATTTATCATACTTACTAAAATGTATGATAAATATGGCTTTACTTACTAAAAGTTACCTGAATATACATAAAAACCAAAACAAACAAACCAAAAACAAACCAAAGCAAGCCCAAACAAAAACAACCAACCAAACCAACCAAACCAAACCAAACCAAACAAACAAAAAAAACCCAAACAAAAAACAAGTGGGTTTTGAAGTACAGGTAAGAGTAAAAGCAGTGAGTATTCCTGTATGAAGAAATGACATAAAGTAAGATTCACCCTCCCCCACTGCCCAGCCAAACCAAGCACCATGCAGTGTTAGTGCACATCCATGTCGTGACCTTTGCTGGAAACAGGGAAAGTACAAAAGCAGTAAACCCAAGGGAATTTGGAAACACTCCCCACAGCAGTTTTGACTGTGCTTTTTCCATTTCTCTTCTCCCTTCTGTCTCACTACATACCTACCCTCTGTTTCTCTAGAAGCCTTATCCCCCTTCTCTTTTTGCTCCTTTATTTATTCTCTCCTAACAAAAGCTGAAAAAACGTCTGTTGCCACCACTGCACTGTTCACTTTGTGCAGGATGCACAGTTCCTCCATCTTGCACCAGCCTTGTCTATTTATGCAGCAGGCAGGAACCACTGACAGCTTTGTGCCTGTAGAGTGCTCAGCACTACAGGACACCATCACGCTAAGGAGACGTGACTCTGTACCTGGCCTTTGCATATTCCTGTAAACTCTTCAGGAATAAAGACTGCAGTAATGTTAAAATATTTTTGAAAAAAATGCATGTAAAACTGCACCCCACGTAAATATACAATTCTATCAAATTCAGACTGAAAAGTTAATGCCTCCTTTCAAACACTGCGTTTTCTAAGGGACTAATTCAGCAACTATTGCTAGAACACCATTAAAAGTACTTGAACTTGACACTGCACAAAATTTGATTTGCAAAACAGTATTATCTTGACAAAAAGTTAAAAGTGAAAGTCCTGGAAGTTCTTCCAGCTTTGGAAAGTATAATAGAAGAGATCTGTACCCTTCTAGAAAAGTGATATAACTGCCAGTATTTATGATTGCATGCAGAAGTACAGGAGATGAAACAGGTACAGACTACAGCCTTGACATTTGATTGTCAGAGTTGGTTTTCCTTCTGACAAAACAAGGAATAGGAATTAATTATGTCAAAGCACCTCACATTATATCTAGTGTTACAGCAAATACAGAATTCTCCCAATCAATAAAGCTGCTTTGTGAATTTGAAGTAAAAATTGAATTATCGTGCAGTTATTGCCAGTTTTAATAAAGTATTGCCAGTGCCAAACATGCTAAAGTACATTCAGGAAAAGTGTAGATAAATCTTTAATCTTTCCAATCATGTTTCATTAAGTGGTCATTTGTAGAGGCAGACACAACAGTTTTGGAGATTTAGTCAGATCACACACAATGTAACTTATCAGAAATCAGTCCTTATTATGATCTCTTTTCCAGAATTCAACAGGCTGACCTTAACTAACAAACAAATTTAAAACAGCACACAGCGAAATTTTTTTGTCTACTATGTAAAAGCTTAGTGTTACAGAAGCCTAAAGGCATCCTGTTTTAGCATGTAAATTTTCAGCACTATGCATATTAAACAAGTGAAATCTGTTGTTAGGTAGATGCATTCTGAACAGGTCTTTCAGCAAATGAACAGTCACTTCAGAAAATCTTCCTAAAAACATCTGTAGGAAGTTCCATTAACCCTTGAGGCTACAAGAAAACCAGTGACAAGATCATTATTTAAAGTCTTACAATCCACCTCCTCTACCAAACCTCAGAGATGATGAACTTACCCATTCTCTTCCTATTAAGCTTTTTTTCTTTTCAACTGCAGCTTTTGCAATAGGAGCGTCTGAAAAAAACACAAGTGGCAACACCTTCAGTCATAAGTCAGCTTTAGTTATTAGCCTGAATGCTACCATAAACACTCTGCAGAAAAGAATCTCACAATACACAGCATACAATGTTGATGAACATTATGTTTTGAAAGTGTTACGCTCTGAAATTTATTTTTGCTGTTGAGAGATCCCTACCATAATCCAGAAGCTGGAGAAAGGGGCCAACAGGAAAAGTGTGGAGTTCATCAAAGGGAAATGCAAATGCCTGTACCTTGGGAAGAACTACCCCAGGCAGTCCTGCCTGGGGGCACATCAGCTTTGCAGGAAGAGACCTGGGGGTGTTGGTGGACACCAAGTTGAACCAGGAATGTGCCTTTGCAGTAGAGGTGGCCAACAGCTGCCTGGGCTGTATCAGGAGGCATGTTGCCAGTAGGCTGAGGATGGTGATCCTACCCCTCTACTCAGCACTGGTGGGACACATTTAGAGTGCTGGGCTCAGCTCTGGGCTCCCCAGCATATGCCAGGCTGAACTGAATCCTGCAAAAAGCCACAGAGAAGACCAAGGGGTGGGAACACCTGTCATACAAGGAGAGACTGAGAGAACTGCAGTTGTTTAGGCTGGAGAAGAGAAGGGTGAGGGATGACTCTAATCAGTGTGCACTAAATACCTGGCCTCCAACTTATCCTTTCCAGGAGATTGACAGTTCCAGATACAGCCACCAGTATCACCTAGATAGTCTACTTCAGACACTTAATGTAGGTATTTACATGGTAAGTTAACCAGGGGCTTCTGTAGTTTACAAATAGTGACATCCAGCTTGCTACAAATTTTGCCAGGTAAATGAATCCAAAGAGTTAGAGAAATAGAAGCACTTGTTTACAGGACAAATCTGGTATGCTCAGTTACAACATTTCTTTCTTTACTTTGAACTGCATCTCTGCTGTGGAAAAGAAAACTTGGGAAGAGAAATTCCACTCACTCAACTGCTGTCCTAAAATTCCTTTCACATTAACAGCTACTCTCTAAACATTAACCCAGTACAAATCAATACTACTGTTCAGTAGTACATTACCACTTTTCTGTGCCCACATGGTCAGGAAAACAGCACCAGTGATTCTGGGTGGTTTCACAGCTGATACCCAGAGCTGGCAGCAACAAAAAGACTGGTAGGAATTCTGACAAATCATGTTCTTGCTTTGAAAAGCAACAAGTGACAGCAGAGGCATGAACTGTGACTACCTACTAGAAAAGGACCCCAAGTGTGAAAACCAGAATACAGATCACTACTCACATCTCTTCCCTCCAATGTTTCTGGTAAAAGCTTAGCAAAATAAGAAAGCAAGTTGAGGAGGAAGCTGAAAGATTTGGAGGGAGAATTACAGAGATCTCTGCATCTCTTCAGAAGATGCAGCTCTTTGATGCTGCCGATAGCTTCACTTCTCACCATCACTTTGGTGCCAATTTGTTCCATCTCCTTTTTCTCAAATTATTTCTACATTTCTAAAACTATAATTTCTATAAATATGCAATAGTCTGAATGTTTCCTCAAGCTTTCAGAGGCTGACTTATTATGTACACCTAATCAAACTACACATGCATAACCAACTGGTTTTAGTTGTCTCTGGAGAACTGAGCGGAAATCATCCTCCACTTACATCGTGGTCTTTGAAAATTATCCTTATTTCACAGAAATAGCTTAAACTATTTTCCTTCCCCATTGGTATCAGGAACATCTTCACCTGTACTCTTGCAGATGAAAAGTTCCTGAATATACAGTTCAGGACACATTTCAAGAATGACCTTTGAGAGTTAACTTGCATCCACTGTCATCAAGACACATTAATATCAAGTGTTAAGTGCCTTTGCCATTTTCAGTAATTCCAGGAACTCATCCAAGGAAATTACATCTAGGTGCTGGAACAGATGCGGCACAAAACTGATGGGATCTTTCACCCTATTTCAACAGTTTTTTGTAAATAGATATCAATCATCTTATTGGAGAATATCTGTTGCTCAGGAACTGAAGGGATACCTGACATTATTACTTCTGCTTTGCAGGAGAGGATCACTTTGCTACCTCTTTCTCAAGCCAGAAAATCCTTCCCTACATTCCAGAAGAGTAGTGAAAATAATAGCAACAATAAAACAAACAAACAAAACCCTGAAACCCCCAAACAGACAAAAAACCCCACAAAAACAAAACCACACAAGAAGTGATACCGTTTGGAGGTACTGATGATGATAAAATGTGCCTTGGTTTCCAATAAGAATAATGCCGCTAAATATCAGAATAAATACAGGCTAGTTAGTGGGAATGCAAATATATTAACATCTTGCAAGGTAAAAGCATAACCTGAGAAGACTTAATACATTAAAGCTGGGGAATTTAAAAAAAAAAGTCTACACCAGAATATTAGAGTTGTCCCAAAAAGCTGCAATAAGCATTTTAATAAAATCAAATGAAATGTGCTATTATAAGATTACGGGGGGGGGGGGAAACCCAAGCCAAACAAACCAAAACCCAGTAGTTAACGCTTGAAGAAAAAAAAAAAAAAGAAGAAAAAAAAAAAAAATCAGGCTCAGTGGTCTGAATTCAACTGTATTAAAAAGGAAGATGGGATAGAAGTGCAGTAAGCATTGCAGATTTAGGACATGCTGGAATAAACCAATACCTAAAAAATGAATCAATCATTTCCTTGAAAAAAGGAAACACAATCAAGATGCAATCTGGAATCTGTAAATCATAAATAGATGAGAAGGTAATCTTAAAATATGAGACAGAAACTTAGTACCAAAATACAGTATGATGTTGCAAACATGGAACAACTGGACCAGAGAAGAGCTACTAATTCCTAAAAAAACTCTTTTTTTTTTTTTTTGTTTTAAACCATGCTGCCAGAAAAGAGTAGGCAGATTTAGACAATACAAAAGTGGAAAACACTGCAGAACATATAAGTCACCAGCCCCGAAAATGACAAACTAGGAGCCACATGAAAATATATCGTATTAAATGCAAGATTCCTGCACACAGGGACTGATGCAAGTTTCTTTCATGTAGTGAGGGCTTGTTATTTGGGAGTATAGTCATTCTGTGGTCAATTATAAGCCGATGCAGCACTGTAGTGGGGGGAGGGGGCGGTGGGGGGAAAAGGAGGCAAATGCATATCAAGGATTTCTTTGCAATAAAGATGGGGAAATATGAACATTCTTGCACACGAGCAACAACTTGTCTGGAATACAACACACAATTCTGAATTCCTGTTTTCAAGAAAACCAAGTTCTAATTACAAGAACTACAGAACTGACCAAAGAGCCTGTTGTATAAAATAAAAATTAGTCTCACTTTACTCAGTTTAGCAAAATAAAACTAGAATGAACATAGACATAAGAATTTATTAAAAGGATAAACAAAGAGGGAAAAGTATTCTAATCTTATTCCTCAGTTTAAGTCCAGCAAAACAACATACACTAAAAAAAAAATAAAATTCATACTGCTATTCCAGAATCCAAGTTTGGTTCCAAATATAGAACAAAACTAACATTCTATTGCCAAAAGTAAAAGATGCATAAAGCCTACCTTCTTTTAAGAACAAGGCATAATACATTCCATTATATGATGCATTTGACATGTAAGCAAGGGATACATTTTGTTTTCTCTCAGTTTCTATGCTGGTATCATAGAGTCAATGCAAAAAAAAAGAGAAGGAAAGAAAAACAAGAAACTGGGAAACATCAAAAACCTAAAAAATAGCCCCAAACCAATAAAAAAATCCAAACCAATAACTCCAAACCAATAATAACCTCTTAGAATCTACTGGTTCTTCTTCTGGATCAAGAAGTGTTCAGTGTGTCATGACACTTTAGAAGATAACTGCAGTTCAAAATTGATTGTTTTATGAAAAGCATCTCCTTCCCAAAAGCTACATTAAAGTCATTTGGGACAGTATTAACATGATCTTGTGCAAGCCACAGCTTATTTTTAGTCAACTCTCTTATTGGTTCCAAAGTTTGCAGAAAAATAAGTGGGATAGCAGAAGTAATACACCAAAACACTGGCAGAGAAAATACGCAAGATTTATTTATTTCTTGGATAGAATCTTGAATTGCTATTTAATGGGAGGTAGAATTCCCAGTCACACCCAAGTTACTGCTTGTGTGTATAGTAAAAATAGTGCGAAGGGAAATTTGCTGTAGAAAAATATATATATTTTTAATTGACAATTGCATGTCCTTAAGTGCTAAATAGTAGGTTAGAAACAGAAAAGTCAAGTGACCTAGTATACTCTCTTACCAGAAATTCTTTTCTTACAGTGTATTTCCAATGCACTATTTATTGAAAAGCATGTCACTATTTCCTTCTGCATAATGAAAACAATAGAAATGACATTTTTTCTAAGACAACATGAAGAAACAGACTTGGTGAGAATTCTGGTAACTACCTGTATTTTAATTACTTTTCCACATTCTGTAGCTGCCTGTCTGACTTCACCAAGACTACACCACAGGGGAAGAGAACAATCCAAGTTTTCTGAACACTCAAGCATTTGCCTTTTTTTACTATGTTTTGCTGATCTGACTATTTCAGACTCCTGCGAAGAACTACTGATTTTTGTTGAAACACATTTGTAATTCCATTTCCTCTTCAAGAAGCTGATGTGGCATTAGCAATTAGGTAGCTCAACTCCCTGCCTTTAATCTCAAAAATGCACATATATTAGGTACTATTGCTCTACTGCCTTGCTTCCTTTTTTAAAAAAAAAAAAAAAGGTGAGCAAACCCTGCAATTGTTAGGAGAAAGATTACATAAAAAGGATATGCCATTTTTTAATAAGTGAGGAGAATAAGAGACAACTAGAACCAGTGTATCTGGCACAGAAACTTTCCAACCAGTCTAAAAAGGAAGCTCTTGCTGTAGAAAACAAAGTTCTCATTGGGTATTAAAGGACTGAAAATTTTCACAAGTTGCTAGAATATTTACACCTATGAGGTAGAATTTAGCAAAGTATCATAGAACATGGTAATTAACCCACACAAGGAATGTGTTCTTGTGTTCTTGTTAGCCTACTTCAACATCTTATTCTCCTCCTTTACAACTCTAAGAAGAAATACTATGGTATGGTGAGTTTAGTTTGATCTCTTTTCTACTTCTCTTGAGCACTGAATGCAAAACAAAACCCAAAGCATGTCCATGACCTTCCCACCTCACTCCCAAAGCTGTGTGCTAATCCCCAAAGCTTCCCAGAATTATAATTTCCTTGTACATCCTGTATGTATGTCGATGAGTCTGGAATAGACATACACTTACGTTATGAAGGGCATACACTAATTTAACTTGCAGCACATGCAACCACTGCACAGATTCCTGAATGCCACTGCTTTATTCTGCTTAGCACAAGTAAATTAAATCTATGCAAACATTTCAAGCACTCAAATTCTTTGACCTCACAGAAAACTCTTAAAATACTCAGATTCTGGTCGAAAGAAACGCAAATGGCTTCCAATTCATTAGCTGGGCACTGCACACACAGCCTCTGTCTGCTTCAGCTAGCGACATTTCTGTATCCTACACTGTTAATTTTTGGAAAATATGGGCAAATAACATAAATGTCTTCACAATTCCTAGATCAGTTTAGAAGCCAAATGTGACATTTTCTGTGTGTCATTTGTATATCTGTAAGAGTTCATCAGCAAACAAACGCTGTTGTGTGTTAAAAAGAGAAGCCTCCTACTCTTCAAACCTAAATTCTAGTCCTATTCTTGATCCTGTACACTAACTTGTTTAAAAATACTGCTCTCCAGTTCAGTATTCATTGTTCACCACACATAAAATAAAATTAATGTAAATGAGGATTGTAGTGTACTTAGAAAACACTGGAACAGGTTGCCCAGGGGGGCTGTGGAGTCTCCTATATTGGAGATATTCAAGGCCCACCTGGACAAGTTCCTGTGTGATGTACTCTAGGTTACCCTGCTCTTGCAGGGGGGTTGGACTAGATGATCTTTTGAGGTCCCTTCCAACCCTTGGGATTCTGTGATCCTGTGAAAGAAAACCTGTACGGTGTGATTTAGACATCAGCTGATTCATTACTCCATGCTCACGGGCACTAAAATTCAAACATTCAGGAGCACAGTGAAATGTGACCAGACAATATACTATGGGTGAGTGCCAGTTAAGATAAACAGGAGGTGAGGCAGGACACCACCACATAAGGAGTATGAAAGATCTCACGTAAGATGTTCTTCTTCTGCCCATGGAAACTTTCCTTTTAAGTAACTCCCAATAAAAATTTAAGGGAAAAAGAAAAGGCAGCGGGGTGTTATTGTATGTCCCAACATACAATAAAAGCTCTGTACTGTACAGCTCTGGCCATTAGGGATAAAAACAGCTGCTAGCAGATTGCAAAATGTCATAGGCATTCATCAAAGACTACTGTTATGCAAGCCACACCATGCTGAAGATAATTTAAGTTCTGAACCTTTCTAGGTGCAAGAGAACTTGTCAAAATACATCAGAATTACTTTATTTCCATCTGACAAAACTCACACTTCTATGACAAAACTTAGGGGTTTCTTATAATATACACTGAGAATTGCAAAAACACAGTCAAACATCTGAAGCTAAGTATACTTTTAAAAGGTATTAATTTCTCCCCAAAGCGTAAGGGTTAGGGAAGCATGAACACAAACGTACTGGGAAAAGAAATACGAGGTTGGGAGATAGAAGAAACCTCAGAAAATCCACTGGATCTCCTCGTGGTACCAATATTAAGTCTTCACATTAAGACTACATGAAACTACCCAAATCTGTTAATCCCCTACTCTAGTATAAAAAAAAAAAAAAAAAAAAACAGAAATCCCAAATGACTTTGCCACAACAAAAAAAAATAAACGCTGAAGTGCTGGAAGTTTCTAAAGAATATCTCAAAGCTCCCAATGTTAATGGGAAATGCCCATTATTGACAAAATTTAAGTACATTAAAAGGCTGATCTCAAGGTGTATGGTGTGCACTACGTGTGCAAAGATGATAGCCAATGTATCATAAAAAAAGGTAGTTAACACTTACTCCACTTGTAAGTTCACTCTTCCCTTAATAAATATTATTTCTCTCCCAACAATATTTTTTTGGCCACTATATACGTATGTGTATAGCAAAAACAGGAAATTGGAGCACATCAGGAATTATGCAGAAATGTGTGTACAAACACACATCTTATCTCAAAGGTCCCTCACCTGCCTAACTATGTTTTTCTGGCTTTCTTCCAAAGTGAACTTTTGCAAGTGATCTTCAGCAAGCCCAAGTAAACCAGTGCCCTGTGACTATCTAAACTGCCCTACCAAGCTTAGCTCATAAGCTACAGTACTAAATACACATCTTTAAGCTCCTGCGCACAAATTGAGATTAAACTGGACATCAAAGTTAACCACTAGCATCACCATCACCTTTTTGTCCAAATGTCTGAAGCCATCAATAACTTACCAATGCTTAGGTTTCTTTATATTAAAGCAGAATCTTCTTCTGAGGAACGCATGGCACTAAGAACCTTATTTTTCTTACTACATGTAAGTGTATCACTCTTTTCCGTCAACCTTGCTTTGCTTATATTCATCGACCATTACAGCTAAAGCACTTTAACTGGCACTTCTCACCTTGGTGTAACAACCTCTGCGGGTGCATCCTAAATGCTTTTGGCCTTAGCTTTTCCCCACTCTCTAGGGCCTGGCGTGGGAAGAGGGTGGGCGTCATTTGTAGCGGAAAAAGTTTAAGAGCGATACTTAATTAAAACATGGTTCCGGAAAGCCCCTATCCCAGCGGCGCCTGGATTTCAAGGAGGCCGCTTCGCTCCCGCAGAGAAACGCACCCTTCACCACTGCCCCGGCGGGGACCCCCAGCCTGGCACCGCGCCCCTCCATGCACCCCCGGCCGCTCCAAGCCTCCCGTTCCGCGGCCCGGCTTCCGCTCGCCTCTGGCAGCAGGGCGATCGCGGCGCAGTGGACAAGGCCCACTGCCCTTCGAGGGGCAGGCCCCGGGGCTCCCCGCCGTCCTCGGCCCCCGAACAGCGGTGGAGCCCCCACAGCCACTCACCCGTCAGCACCACTACCTCCGCCCCGCTCGCAGGGCCCCGCTGTACCGGGCCAGTTGCCTCACAAGAACTTCCGGCCAGGTCACAGGTCACTTCCGGCTCGGGGCGAGCGCCCCCCGGTGCCTTGCCTTTGCCTTGGGAGGCGTGCAGCGCCAGGCTCCCGGCATGCCGTACGGCGGGAACGGTGTGTGCTGGGGCGCGTAGTTCCGGGGTAAATAGGTTCCGGTTTGCCCTGTTAGGAGTGGAAGGGGGAGGTGCTGAGATGGTGCCGCCCGGGGGGCGGCTCCTGCTTCGGGGTTAGCGGCAGCCGTGGTCCGCGGGGCCGGGCGCAGTCTGACTCACCGGGCTCGGGTCCTAACCCGAGGGCGTAGGCCCTCAGCTCGCCCCGCTCTGCTGTCCCCACGAATGCAGTGCCAGTGGCACCCTTGGGTCCCGTCTAACAGTCCCAGACCACCCTCGGGACCGCCGTGCTCTAGCGTCAGGCGGAGGCGGCCGCAGGCAGCCTGGTGGGGGCGCGGTGGAGTCGGCCAGGCCGCTCCTGCCGGCGGAACCAAAGCGCGGGCTTGCGTGGCGGCGAGGGGCTGCTGCTGGTGCACCGCTTGCCGTGCTGCTCTCCTCTACCCGCCTGCAGCGGGACGCGGCCCGACACGATGCTGCTGCTGCGGGCTGCGGGCTGTCGGCGTGCCGTCGTCCCGGCCTCCGCTGCTGCCGCCGCCGCCTGGCTGAGGGGCGCTGCTCACCCCGAGCTCCCCGCCGCTCTCCGCCACCGGGCGGCCCTGCCCACCTCCGCGGGGACCCAGCAGGTTGTGTAGCAGGTGGTGGTACGGGGACGCGGCCCCGCTTCCCTTCCCGGGAGGAGCTGACCGGGGGCAGGGCGGCAGTCGTGGGATCGCGGTTTTTTTCCGTCCGGAAAATGGGGAACTTAGGTCCCCTTCAGGGCTATTTGAGGTCAGACGGAGGCCTGGCAGGCGTGGGCCCTGCCAGTGTCCCGGTGCAGAGTCGTATGTGAAATAATGGCAAGCAGAGTGTTCGTCAGTGGGTTTGCAAGTATTAAATGCTTTCTTGGGATATCTACATGGAGCATTACGAAAGCAGTCAAGAAATATATTAGTTCGACTTTGTGGTGTGATTTGTAATATGACGTAACTTTAATTCCTAATTTAAGATGCTTGGAGTAGGTTCAAGGCTAGGAGAAACCTAGTGTGCTATATACATATATATTATAAAGTCCAGATTGGTGCTAATGTTGTTTGGCCATGGCCTGCTTTCATCTTTCAGGTTACATCTCTTCAAGGACTGGCTGTTCGCAGCCTCAGCACATCCACCCCTCACGATCACCCAGAACACGGAAGATTAGTTTATAAAGGAAATTTAGCAAAGGCAGTGTTAGGTATGTGACTTGAAATTATTTGTATTGCCTTTAAAAAAAAAAATTATTATTTAAGTGTTTGATAACTTTAAAATCAAACATTGTAAAAGTGAGTGTTCTCTTTTCCAACCCTGTTAAAACCTGGATCCTCTGTACAGCAAAAATTGTGGTGGTGGTGCTTGGTTTCTGCTTCTACACGTAGGTGTGCAGGGTGTTCTGTAGATACTGTGCACCTCTGTAACTGCAGCTTCTTTATGTTTCCCTTGCAGCTTTTGGACTGTGTTACCCAGCCCAGTAACAAACAAAGACTAGCTGTAACTGCTGTTTGCATTCTGTATGTTTTCAAATGTTACTGAAGTATTTCTGAAGTAGACAGATGCTGTGATAAAATGCACTACCTGTGATGAGACTTTGTTATCTTTCTTTGACCAGTTAATGTTACAAAGCCTTAGTGAAAAGTAACCTGCTGGATGTTTTCTGATATGTATTTTTGAAATGTATCTTAAGTAGGGAAGTATGCCTTAACACACTTAATAACCAGAGTGTTTTAGACTACTGGTTCTCATGGTGGCTTAAGGACCATGGGTTATCCACAATACTGGTTCCTGCCATTTAGGCTGCATGCAAGATGACTGTGGAGTACCTGTTAATATTGACTAACATAGAGTTTCCAGGTTGTGCATGGTGGGAGACCAGGCACGCTTCTTTGTAATGCACACTAAGTGTCAACATTGGTTACTGGTGAGGAGAGAAAATCCCAGTCGTGTTTGTGATGTTTACCATTATGTCTGTCCATGACTGGATCAAGTTTCTTTTGAAATCAGTTTCCTGTTTGTGAAGTAAACCCCTAATAGGTATGCATAATATGTGCTAGTAGCTGAGTTCATCATAGAAATAGAGCCAGTTACCAGCTTTATAAACCCAGCATGTGCATAAAAATGAACCAGAACAGTGACAAGAAGACAGGATTGAACTTCCAATGGCTTCTTTGTGAGCTTAAAAAAAGGGACCTGGATTTTCAGTAACTGCAGTGATTCAAGTAATGCAGTCAGTACCCAATGGCAGAACATATGTAATTATAGAGAAAATGTTACTCATAAGTATTAACTTTCATTTTCTTTTTGTTTTGTTTTATGTAGGTGTGAAGTTTTTCTCTTACTCCACCAGCATATTCAACCTATTCATGATGCCCTACCTCATGTTCAAAACTGGTATTGGATTTGAAAGTCTGTTTATCCAAGCTGCTTTTTATGGGGTGATCGGGTTTTTTACATTTGTAACTCCAGTTACTTTGCATGTCCTTACAAAAGGCTATGTGATTCGACTCTATTATAAAGATGAAATGGACACATACACAGCCATTACATACAATGCAATCTTGGCAGAAAAAGCAACTGTTTTCCATCAGAAAGATGTAAAGATTCCAGACATCACCAAGATGTTTACAACATTTTATGCTAAAACAAAATCAATGCTTGTGAATCCTGCACTTTTCCCAGATCCTCAGGATTTTAACCATCTCATGGGCTATGACAAATCCTTTTATTTTAACTTAGAGGAAGAAAATGAAGCCAATGAAAAGAAATAATTCGAAGATAATGAACGTCATTATCATTGTTCGCGGTGCCATGCTATAAATGGGAAAGAATGTAAAATTCTCTTACTGTTTCTTAAGTGTCAGATAGCTAGAGTTTCCCTAATGCATTTTTTGAATGTATAAAAAAAATCCAAAACATTTTTTTAAACTTAAAAATGATGTGAAGGTTTCTTCAGAGTTAACGACACAAAACATAGTAAAAGAAAAGGAAAAAAAAGAAACCTTAGATCTGTCTTGTGCTTCTTTGTTCTTGGCTTGTTTTTATTGTTAACTATCCAGGAGAACTGTAAAACACATGGGCTATGCAGCAGTCTCACCATCTCCATTGCAAAGAGAACAGTTCCTTTAAGAAGAATCAGCAGTGCTCATTACCTGTCAAGTGCATAGTTAAGCTTTTAAGCTTTAAAGAGTAATTATCCTTAATCCAAAAAGATCAGGCTGTTTCATCAATGCTGCTGGTGGTACAAAGGGGGTGGAAATGAATTTCACTTTGCTTTGTGAGAGCACTGCTAGGCAGGGGGAGTCTTCAGAAAGCAGACATATTGTTGCCGGTTTCTGCTACAGCCTCAGTCTACAGGCCTGCAGGCCTCTGGAGAAGATAGGGAGAATGGCTGCGTTGTCATAATCTCTAGCTACTCACAGCTTCTCAATGGTTTCTTGATCTAGAGCCCCATTCTGAGCAGCCCTGACCCCAGAGGTCGAGAGCTAGAAGCCTTTCTCCTTGTTGGGGGGGAAAGCACCTTAGCATAAGATTTGCTCTGTGAAGATGTCATCGTAAAGAGGTGCTGTATCTGAACTGACTTTAAGAAAATACTAGCAGCTGGTTGTTAAAATGGATTCTGTTAACATGTAAGGTGAGGAAGCAGGAGGGAATCTCCTGTAGAGTGCTGTTTATGACTTGTGCCTTTAAAAACATGCCTCTTGATTTAAGCACTGCGAAGAAAGCCACCTTTAACTCAAGTAAAAAGAGGATTAGGTCTTTTTTGTGTGACTAGACTTGTTAGTTCTGCAGTCTGAGTATGCAGAAATTGGAGTTAAATATTTTTAGTCCAAGGAGAAGTTTGTCACATAAACTGACACTTACCTTTTTTCAAATAATGAAGGGCATAATATTTTGAGCCTTAAAAATGAATGAATTAAAAAAAAAATGCAGCAAAATTCAAATTAATCCTTTTGTATTAGAAGTGCCCTTTTTAATAACTAAATCGTGCTACTAATTAAATCATCCTGATATTGCAAATAAAAAGAAAATAATTATTGCTACCCTTCCAGATGTTTCCTAAGTTCTAGCTGAAAAAATGTATTTAAAAGTCTAAATGTCTTCCAAGACTATTACTGCAGGTTCCCATCTTAGGATGATACTATAGATCATATTAAGCCATTAGTGTTTTAAAATGTTGTTTTCCTGACTGTTGAAACTGCTCTCAGTGTACTTGCTGAGTAATTAAAAAGCAAATCATCCCATCCAGATATTTTTGAGGCAGTTCCTTTGGTCTGGAACAGCTATAATTTTAAAAGCCTGCTCTAGCTCCATTAAGCCAGTATCACTCCTTAGGTAACAGTAATATATAACAAAAAACTCTGTAAATCATATTGAAGACATGAGGGCACTTCTGACCACTTAGTTGTACTACTTGTCCTTATTGAAATCATGGTTTACACCTAATTACAAATAATCTTTCCATGTCTGATGTGTTTACTCTCCTTTTTGTGCTTGTGGATAAAGTTAACTTCATCTTTAAATGCCAAGTACAGAAAGAAGAGTACGTAAGAGTTTGCAAGAGAAGGACGCAAAATTGTAGTATTCAAACAGTTTGTTCTTCATGTTAGAAACAAAATAAAGGAATGGAAGTGTAACTCAAAAAGACTTCCAGATGCATTTCTGTTTTACTTTGGGTTCTGAACAGTTTGTCCTAATGCAGATATTTCATAGTGCACGGAGTGTATTTCCAAGTGGGAGACTGCAGTGCTATGTGTCCTTCTAAGCCCGGAAATGTGCATAAACCAAAACATGCTCTCTTGGTACTAACAAATACTGCAAGAGAAGTCACTGTAGTGTGAGTGTTTCAATAAATGTTGTCAAGTAATTCCCAAAGCTTGGTCATGTTACCTCCACATCCTTCACAATCTTATTAATTTTGTGAACTATTGTATTCCTTTTTTTTTTTTTCCCCCACAATTTATATCCTTGGTGAAAAATAGTTATAATTGCAGAAGTATTACTGCCTGCTAACACTGTCATCCCTGGAAGATGCTGTTGTTTCTTTGGGTGTAGATAACTTGTGTACAATGTGGAAGAAACAATTAATTTATAAGACCTAGAGAATGTGCTCAATGCTTGGAGATTCTGAAGGAAATACTGATGTAGAAGTCCAGTCTTCTAAAATATCTGATTTACAAGCTATCTTATTTGCAAGGCTACACCTACTATGAAGGCTGCCAGCTCCTGCAGCCTTTCCAGTACCATCTTACCCTGGTACCAGTTCCACTTAATCTGCTGTGAAGGACAGGAATGTATAAAATGACTCAAGCTTCTTTCCTAGACATATGTTTCCTTCCCTTTCCTGCCTTAAAAAGCTTCTACAAAAGGTTATAGATGACTTTTTTTCCTAGGGAAACAGACAGGATACTTGTGAATTTTAATTTTTAGCCTTTGAGTACGGGCTATTTTCTTGCCAGTGTCTCTCTCCATTTTTCTCAAGTTTTTGACTTTGTCCACAATATTATTCATTAATCTCTCTCAGTTCTTAATTAGGAAGTACAATGCTTCTTGCCATTCTTTAATGTTATTTTTTAAATTAAATTATCCCACAACCCTCAGCCTTTTGTTGCAAATGTAAAAATGTCTGATGAGAAAATTATCCCCTTTTGATACTTCAAAGAGAAATCTTCAAAGCTCTGAGGTACTTCACACTCTTAACCATACTCTCTAGAATTAAAAGGTAACTAATGTCACTGGAGTTTGCTTTATTACAACCCAAAATCATCACACTTGCAAAGATGAAGAAAATCTGTAGATATTTGCATGGTACTGGGAGGGCCTAACTTAGGTGATGGAAACTTCCTGAAATTCTGTTTGTGCTGTAAAAATTAAGAGCACACGTGAATTGTTACAGTTGCTCAGTATAATTTAATAGGTGGAAACTTGGTAAGCTGCTGCAATTTGGTTGCTTTGGAGTTCTGTGGTCATACCATAGATTTCTTCATGCTCTCATGTACAACATGACCTGCAGCAGCCCCCCTGAGAAATGGGACAAGTGTGCTGGCTAGGGGTTGGAGCCACTATAACAGATTATCCCACAGCTATACAGACCTCAGCAAGCAGCTATTTTAAGCAGGGAAGAACAGAGAACAAGAGCAAATGGTTGCAAAACATGTCCAGCTGTCTCCATTTGTGGAATACCAGGGTGGACAATATTGCTGTGGTGTGCTTTCTGACAGCCTCAGGTAGGACACAACCCTTTCATCTCCCTTCCCCCTCTGCTTTCTCTTTATGACAGCTTTAATGGTTTAATGTGTACTTTAGGATATAACTATAAGCTTTAATCCTAAATGTGTCTTGGAAAGAATAAACTGTAAGCCTACTGGCAACAGGCAGAAATATTTCCAACGTAATTATTTCCGCAGGATACCACCTGGTATATTTGCTTCACTTTAATAGTCTCCAGTGGTTTAATGGGATATATTCAAATCAAACCACTAAGCCAAAGTGCAAACAGCATTTAAAAATATATTCAGAATAATGCACATCACTTTTTCTTTCCACAGCTATTTGGTTTCATACTCAAATGCTACCAGCTCACCACTGGCTATGTGCTGATGCACTGCTCTTGGGCTGGATTTCCCTGGCACTCTCAGGCACTTCATCAGCTGTGTGTAGAGGAGCTGACTCCTCTGCTGCTTTCCAGTACTCCTGGGCACGACTTTCTACTTCCACTATAAACATTGTCAAAGATGGAATGAAAGGATTTGATAAGAGAGATTTATCCATGAACTGCTACAGTTTTCTATTCATGTTGATTGCTGTGCATGTTTCTGTTTTGTGAACACATGCCTTATGCCTTACCCCTTTATACTGGAGTGTCTTCAGCAGCAACTCTAAACCCAGGATCAGAAGTAATAAACACGCCTGCCTTCAGCTGCACAATGATCTACTTCAAAAACTGTTGCAAGTGGTCCTGCAAGGAAAATTGAATTATTATTGCCTCTTTATTAAAAAAATGTGTCTAACATCTTAAAAGAGTTTTCCATTAACAAGAGATTTTGGTACATGCCAAGACCTAGGGCATAATTTTTAATTCTGTCTAACACTTTGAAATGGAGTACTTCCTTCTGCTGTACTGGTATCCTGTTATTTATTTTTCTGTGATGGGATATTATGATAATGTGTATTATAAATCTGTCCAGAGGGAGATTTCTGTGACTTATAAGTGCTTATCTGGTCAAAGTACTCATCTGCAGCCAACAACCCAATTACGAAGTGATTATTTTGAAAAACAATCACAAGTTAAGCAATTTTTAGATATCTTGAGAAAGAAGATAAAAATATCATTAATTAGTTGAAGGATTTTAGCCACAAGTTGGTGAGGAGGCTTGAAGTTATAATTTTACTCTCAGGATGTCGGTTGTAGACACAGTGAAAAGTCATAGGTATGAAGTCCTAAATTCTCTAGGCTTGGATTTGTTTCATGTACCGTTAAGGGAATATAAGTTGGTCCCTACTAAATACAGTTGCAAAGGGTTTAAAAATAAATGAAAATGAATGAAATAAATTGTCACAAAACTCTAGTGAAGTAACACTACTGTGCAGCTCTTTCCACTTCTCTTTCTCTTTTTCATCTTCCTTCTGTATCAGGATATGTAACGAAAAGATTATAGTAAAGAAAGGTTATTTAGTAAAAGTAAAATATATAGACCTTTATATCCTTCTTCACCAGTGACCTTCATAATGAAAGGGAAAGAGGAGACTCCTCACAGCTCTAGTCCACTAGTCTGGGCTTCAGTGAGCATCACAAGAGGTTACTTCTATGAATGGCAATCCATGCAGGCATCAAAAGCCACAGCATCTAAAATTGAATTTGTTGAAAAGATTTTAAAGTTATTGAGGTTGTTTTGATTTAAGGACAATTTGACCAGACACAATGGTCAAGGTTGTAGACTTTATAATCATGGTCAGAAGTGAAACTTTAGCCCTGATACCAGTAGCACTTATTGTTCCTAGTTTCCCATTAGCAAACCAGATTGTTTTAAAATGGAGCCTAGTTAAATGGATTTTTTTTAAAGCATTGTGATTGTCTTGACTTGTCCAATAAGGAACAGGAGAGAATAGAGGTTTCCCCATGTGTCTATCTGTCTAGGCCACCAGGGGGGACTCATTCCTCATCTATATCATTTACTGAATCAAGTATCTGAAAAAACCCCACCTGTTCTTGAGCCAGGTCTAGAAAGTCACAGAGTTCAGCAGAGAGCTTGTCTTCATTCATGTTAAAAGAGCTTTTATATTAAATCTTGTAAATCTACAGCTCTTTTTCCAGTCTGCCTATGTACATCAGTCATCCAATGCACCGTGCAGCGAAGCAGGTGCAAGTCTGGCTGAAGAGGGATGTGCTTTCAGCTGGATAATCATATGTATCAATAGGGTACAGCCAGTGCCGTCTCATGCCCATCTCAAACTGACCTGTGACTTTTGCTACACCTATTGGACTGCCAGAAGAGAGAGCCTGGCTTGGTTTCTAATTGATCAGACTCCACATCAGTAGCCATGTCTTTGTGGTTGAAAGGAGCCTTTTTTGACCATACATGCACAAGGTGGCTCTTCTTTAGTGGCTGCTTCATCACTCCTTAGTGGCTGTTGCATCACTCCATTTCTTTTTTTCCCAGCTATTACATCCTACCCAATTTATTTCAATTTCGCTACATATCTTACTATTTTTAAGCAAAATTTGGCCATTTTGAAACAGAACTGTATTATTGCTATGATCACAAAGGGTCTCCATGTTTCACAGCATCCTATTAAGCAACAGCCAAAATCTGTGTGTGATGTATGCGTTCTAGAGATCTGTCAGGAAAGTTGTGTAATTTTGAATTCCCACTTAAGAGATAAAGGTTAGATGTTTCTTTCAGTCTTGAACTCTGTGAGAGCAGTGGTACTCTTCTTGTGGTCTGTAGAAAGATTTGGAAATACAGAAGAGAATTCTCCAGACATATTAAATTTCTAAATTTTTATCTTTGTGAATTATTACATGTATTAGCTCATTAAAGTTGGCACTTTTAGGTACTTTTAATTGAATTCTCACCTTCCTTAACTAGTCTTGAACTCCTCCCATCTTCTGGGCGCATCAGTCATGTTTTCGTGAATGTCACTAGTCCTAAATTATCTTTTGCATTGCACATTCAGGGTTCTGAAAACTAATTTTTTAGTCTTTTGCACTTTATAATATGTAAAATATTACCCTGGTGTGCACAGAATTTATGAGAATAAAAACTTTTAGCACTGTACTGGGGAGTGGGGAGAGTCATAACAATCGATTAAGTTATATTTGTTGTAATTTTTCTTGAGTTTCTGGCTTAGCACAAAACCAAATACCAGTCTACTGTATATATTGCTTCTTTGTCGTAAAAAATACAATTCCTGATCTAAGAGGAACCTGCAGACATACGAATCAAGAAGGTAATGCCCGAGAAAATAATTTCTGTAAGTCATTCTTCCATATATTCAGTAAGTTTCTGTATTTTTTTATATTCAGAAAAGTAATTGTTTTTCCTGTCAGATGGTGATTGTGCTCTCTTAAATATGGTATTAGACTTTTTGGGGTCTGTTTCTGTAGTTGGGACTAGCAGTATTACTGGGTTTGTGCAGTAAAAGCTGACCTAGGTTTGGGTCACAGAAATGGTTTAGCAGATACAGAAAAAATATGTTATTCTATGTGTGTTGCACTACCAGGCAGAAATAAGAGTGTGTATCTAATACCAAAAGTGCTTCAAGAGTTTTTGGTTTAGTGTTTCAAACTTGAGTGCCAAAATGTGCAACCTGGACTTTTTCAACATGCCAGGGTAAAATTTGGTTCCTAACCTAGCTTCAGCGGTAACAGGTAGATTCTATGTTCTTACAGAAAGATCCAAGTCACAATCTGACAGCTTTTGTTGTTCACTGTCTCCTGTTTAGTGTCTGCCTGGATCCAAGCCTGTGCGCTGCATTGTCACAACAGTCAGGGCTTGAGCTTTGTGCTCTTGGACAATTGTTCAGTGCAGCTTCACCAGGAGACACTGTGGGCAAGAGCATGGGATAAGGTCAAAGAGAGAGGCTGGGAGGCAGATGTGGGACTTACCAATTGTAATTTTATGGATTTCTAAGACTGCTTTCACTAAGAAGTATAACTGTGGTAGACATAGCTTTGAAGATGGGTAGCTGACTGTACAGGACATCAGTGGTTCCACTCATTAACAAGCGAGAAAGTTGCATTCAGCTCCTGCATTTATCTCCATTTGGAAATACATCATCTAATTACACTCCTCCAGAGTGCTGGTGTGTTCTTAAAGCATGGTGAGCTTTGTAAGAAATTCATACTGAAAACTTGTGATAGTTACTGAATACCATATGAATAAAAGAGTAGACTTAGTCTTCATGATGTGTGGATTTTTCTCTTCTTTAGTATGTACAGGGATCTCTGTGAGTGTTTGAAGTTTGCTTTAACAAATGTTACATCTGATGAGTCAACAAAACTTACCCTTTATGTACTTCTGGTAATCATAATTTTACTTCTCCTCACTTCCCCTTTTCACGCAGTTTTCTCTTTCATTTTTCACTCGTAGTTTGAGCTGTGTTGTCTGAGGAAAATGTGACAACAAAACCAGAAATACATTCTCTTCACAAAATTTATTGTGATGATGACTGATAGTGCTGCAGTAGCATTAAGATTGCAAATAATCTGACAAAATAACCAAAGACAAAATTCCCTGAAGACATGTGACCGAGGATGACTGTGCTGACTTTTTGTTCCTCTTTTCCTCAAAGAAAGTTTGCTCGCTAAGTAGTGAGCAAAATAAGTAACCATGTTTGGGCTATATTTTTTCATTTTATTCACCCCTGGAGTCAGTGAACTTCTTTGTACGTCGTCAGATCTAGAAATGTCATACACTTTTTGTGGTAAGTAAAAACCAGCTTATTCTTTTCTTACTGGCATTTGCACAACAGTTACTGTAGTCTGAGGAAATATGATCTTTCATATTGTTTCTTTGATGAATACAGAAAAATAAAAAGAAGTTCAGCTGTTATATTTCTGTTATTAATTAGCCTATTATAAGAATTATACTGCATAGGCATAAATATTACCAGAATGCTTGTTGCAGCAACTATGAGAGAAGTTTACTTCCAAGTAAAGCAGGTATGTTTTGATTCAGGAAATATCAGTGGATAAGGGATTTAAACGTGTTTGCAAGTACTGAAATGTATAAGCTATCCACATTGATTTAACTAATATATTGCAATGAAAAGCTTTATTGAAAAAAAAGAGGGAATGTGATATTCTGTCTGGACGGAGGATCAGTCATGTCTGGTATAACAGAGTGTGTCCCTTCTTGCTGTGCCTGTGTTGTGGGCTGCTGGATCTATGTAGTTCACTGATTTTTTTTATTTTGTTGATTTTGTAACAACTTGGCACATCCATGGTGTCTGTGTCTAGTGTGCTCATGTGGACTCAGCGGCCAGAAGGTGGGCTTTTGTGGAAATATTTTGCAAGGAAAGGCCCATGTCTTTTGTAAATTTGTGCATTACTGGTGTGTATCACTGTAAAATAGCTCTATAAACTGAGGTGCAAAAGGAGATTTTTATTTTGGGTACTTTGCTTTATATCAATACTCATGTTAAAAATATAGCAAGGGTAAAGCAGTCATACGTAAGCTCACAAACCAAACCTTTGACCATGGTGAGTTTTGTTTGATCTTCTTCCTGTTGTAATTTCCGGTGGGTAGTTCTATCTGAGATGAGAAGCTGACTGCTGGTTACTGACAGCCAAACAGTTTCCCTTTGCAGGCCGCTGCTTTAATCCCCAAAACACATGGCAAAACCCTTCACTGTAAAGCACCCTGCCATCCCATTTGCTGTCTGGGTTAGGACAGGGAGCATGCTTCCCATCACCAGACCCACAGCAAGCAGGGCACTTCATCAGCATGAGCACACCAAGGAGGGCAGAAGCAAACTGACTTGAGCAGACTTCTTTCCTAAAATAGTACAAACAAAAATGCTCTCAGGAAATCCTTCCAAAGGCTGCCTCTGAATGATCTGTTTAAAATTTAAAATACCAGCTAATGGGCTCTAAATTTGATTAGATTCAGGTTGTATGATGCTTTATCACACTGCTTTTGACACTGTGCATTGTACAATGCTAGGTGGGTCACCCAAAAAGCAAATCTACTCAAAGGCTCATTTACATTATCCTGGAAAATATGCTGCTATGTTAAAAACATTTTTAGCTGTAGTCAGCAAGTTTGTATAGATTCCATGGTTAGCATAAGTAGGGATATTTTCAGCAGAGGGCCATGCTCGCTTACCACTAATAAAATGTTCTTGTAGCTTCAAAAGAGGAATAAAGGTACTGCTGCCTCTCAGTTTTTCATGCAAAGTATCAGCCAAATATCCACCAGATAATTGACTTCTCTTGCTACTCAAGAAATGTGCCCTGTAAGCATATAAATAAAGAATATATTTCAACATACATATTTAATACTTACTATGAATACTTATATTAGGCAATTTTATAGTATATACCTTATATTAAATACATTTCAAAATGTGTATGTGTTTATTCTGAGTGTGTATATATGTATATCTTTGTTGTTTTCCTGCAAAAGTCTATTCACACTACCAATAAGAAACACTTTTTCCCTGTAGATTCTACAGCCCATGCTTTCATGTTTAATTTGACTCCTTGCAGCACCATGAACAAATCCACCTGGAATGCTGCTCTTACCTGGATTCCAAGTGAGTTCCTGAGTTCCTCTTGACTAGACAATTATATTCTGCAAATGCAGAAAATTCAATGCAAGCAAAAAGCTGATGTACCATCCTAAATGCCAAATGATTTAGGAGATCAATTTCGGTGATTAAAAATGGAATAGATAAACTACAGTGATGGACAGAAATGATGATCTGTGGAAATAAGTGTATGAGTTTTACTTGTTGGATCAGTTACCATAGCTCTACACGCTAACTGGCACTGTACATGCAAACCTGAGATGGTTTAGGTGGAAGTGCATTTGTCTGGAAGAAGCAGACAAGATTTGCAAGCCCTCAAGCTATTTTGGGCTGAGGAAGATCCACATCTTTTTTAGGAGAGAGAATATCATTAGGCTAGCCAAGTATGGCAGGACTTCTACTAAAAATATTCCTGTTCCAGAAGCTGGAAATGGTACTGGATTGTGTATAAAAACCCAGCTTCAACATTTAAACCCGGCTTTAAGATGGCAACCTGTGTTACTTATGAAATGGCTGTGTCATAAACTTCACCTTCTGAGTAAAAAATCTGGAGCTGGGCTAAGTTTGCTTCCCTGGATAGCTATCTTTGTGACGGCTACCAGCATTCAGCACAGCTTGTTTGCAACACCTGCTTAAAACTACAGTGTCCTCATCTTTATTTGGTTACCTGTGGAGCTGAATGAACTCTGTTATCTTTGCCAAAGAAATTTAAAGCAGGTTTTGAAATTGTTCACTCAAATGTTTTTTAAGACTGGTGGGTTTTGTTGAAAACCAGCTTTTTGTTTTACTGGAAATAACAGTATCAAGATATGTATTTTTGCTAGTTTTGGGGAAGTCTTAAAAAGTGCTCTACTTCAAAGAACACCAGTTTTTATCTGTCTGCATATATGGTTTTCCTCCCCACCAGCTACCATTTTCTTATTTGCAATGTCTTAACTAGGAAGTGACATAATCTTTTTGAAGATCGTCTTCAATGTCTGGTACGATGGTGCCAAAGCTTTACACTGGAAAGAAGTCATTTGCAGTGGAGCTGATGATGAATACTCAGTGTGTGGAATGCTGAAAGGAGGTGAGTGTGTAAAACAGACGGTGCCTTTCCCTTGCCTGGCAGGTTCTCCGCAACAGGGCCATATCCTCCCAGCCCTTTTCACCACTAAGCAGGTTTCTTAAAAGACCCATGCAGACAGATTTTTCTCTCCATAACCAAGACCTTGCTTGGCTGGCGGCAGACTTCAGAGCAGGCAGTTATCCGGCACCAGAATCCCACTGAAGTAGAGAATTTTCAAATTCTATGTTTTAGTATCCTTGTACTGCAATTTCCATCTCTATAAATTAGGATTACTAATAGCCTTCATCTCATTATAACACTTCTATTGTTAACATCTCTAAAATTACTTGGAAAGACTACACTTGACTGGACTGTGCAGAAAGCCAGGGGCATTACTAATATCCAGAACACAGTTTATTTAAATAAGTGCCTAGATGGGTTTATAAAGAGATTCTCTACACCCATGTATAATGCTTTCTTTTAGTAGAGTCAATCCTGTTCTAGGGGCTAACCCACATTAACATCACACAGGTTCAGATCCAGAGTATTCCGGCAGGATGTCAAGCTAAAGGACAAAAAGACCTGTAAGGAGGTCAAAATAGCCCATGTTTTCTGTTCTTTAAAAATGAACATAATCTCTCTTTGGTTATCATTCAGCTGAACTACTAGTGTAAGTACGGGAGTTATCACAGTGGGATGGGTCTGTATGAGGTATTGCAGGAGCATTGTGGTTAATTTCTATTTTCTAATGTAGTTTAGACAAATATGCAGAGCTCTGGGAGAAGAAACAGGTGGGAGCTTTACCAGTGGAAGAGTAAATGGCATTGGCACTACTCCTAAGAGATACGCCATATTGCTTTGAAGTTATTTAGGAAGTTTGATTGATGGCTTTATGATTAAGTAACCATTTGTATTGTAACTATCTCTGTTTTACAGAAACACTTGCAACGGCGTTTGACATTAAAGGTTCAAGAACAAAATTTCCAAAGGTACTTCTCAGCATTTTATACAAAGAAATAACGGTAATAAAATCACATACTTCCATACATGTATTTTCTGAAAAGAGTTGTTCACCCAAACTGTAGAAAGCAGCAAAAGGAAATGTCAGAAAACTTTCTCATGCTTGAAGTGATGACTCCAGTCCTCACAGAAATCATCAGAACCATTCCAAGCAGCTACACAGACAAGAGTGGGCAGCATTATGCACTAATTTCCTTTTTCTTGCTTGTTTTAGGGCAATTATAGCATTATTTTACAAGGATTTTCTGATGATTCTGAGAAAAATATGATCATGTGCTTGAATTTCACCATGATAGTAAAACGAGATGCTTTCTGAATTCAAGAAATGTTTCAAATCATTGCAGAACATGGAGGTCGCTTCTGCAAGCAACTGGAATCTGAGCTGCGAAATAATAAGCACACTAATTTTCCTGAGGTAGAGTACATCAAATACTGTCTGGAAAGCTACATGATGGATAGTCTTATCCATATATAGCACTGCTGTAATCAGATGATCAGTCAATGTGCACAAAATACCTGGGAATCAGGCATCCTGATTAATCCCCAGAATAACCCTGACTGGATGTCAGGCTGAGCATTTTGGTGCTGTGCCTTAAGTTATGAAAAAGCTGAGTCCTTTCAGACTGCTAAACTAATTCAAGAAATTTTGAAGTGCAAGAATCAGAAGTTTACTTGCACTCAGAACAGCAATTGAATCTGGGAACTGTGTTGTGTGGGGTTTTTTTCTTTAAACAATAAATTTTTTTGTACAATCGATTTTGAGAAATGTTTTTGTATTCTCCTCTTGCTTTCTGTTAGGTGTTTCCTTATGTTCTCTGCAATTTGTACTAGCTGATGTGCCTAACGTGCAAAGTGGAACATGTTTCCAGTTACACTGATACAGTATGGCTGAATTTAGCCATCCACAGCTTATAACTGCAACCCCATAGTGTGTTTTTAGCTCTTGGTCAAAGACCAAGGGGCAGAGGCTACACAAGCCTTTCAGAAGCAGGAGAATGGTCGTTGCCCAACAAGTTGGTCTATTCCTCAGCTATCAAAAGCATGCTTAAAGTTTTTGCTGTGACTTACTGTCCCTTGCGCAGCCTGACACTCAATATGCACCTTCCCTCTCTGCTGCACCTCCACACCTGAGACCTTTGATGAGATTTTGACAGAGTATTAGATTTGGCCCTCAGGAAGAGAGCTGGCATCCTTGGATGCCACTGTATGGTGAAAGACAGCTGACCAGAGCAGTGTACAAATGCTTCCTGCCTTCAGACAGGTACCCTCCTTATGATGTTAGGATGTCATGTTCTCTTTCCAGCCTCAGTCCCCAGCCAGTGGTAACTTTGTGAGTTCAGACACTTTTCACTAAAGAAGTTGCACATTGCGCTGGCTGCTGGGTTATGCTAGCAGATTGCTTCCAAATGCCTGAAAAAATGAAAACCCAGAACGAGCTGACGCTCTTTCAGGCTGCTAAATACCAAGCACAAAAATTAGCAGAAGTTAAGCTTTTGACGTCACTTTAAATGTAAAATTGTTTTTTGAAATAGGAATTCAGAACACTCAAGAAAAAAGCCATACCCAAGTGCATAGATACTTCATTTAAAACTTGGTGTCAGTATAGCTAGTTTTGCAATCTAAAGCAAAATCAAGAGTTAATAAAATATATGAAGTCTAACTGCATCATGTCTGGAGACACAAAACCACAGTTACATCCATGTGGTAATGGAAAAGTCTGTACTTGTGTTCAGTCCACAGACAGTTCCAGGAGCAGTTCATGATGGAGTATCACAGCAGCTGCTGCTTATATTTGAATCAAGTCACTAGAGTTGCAATCAGTTTCCTCTGAATCTAAAATGTCAATCAAAAGCAGACGGAGAGCCTGATAACCAATACCTACTTTTCTTATTCTATTTTGCACATTTCAAATAGTCTTACTGGTCTAGGGAACACTCTTTACTGTATGAGTGTTTGTATCCCTGTGTACCCATTTCACAGTGTCCAGTAATCACCAGCTGAAGCCTCAAAACAATTTTTAGTGACAGTGTTCTGAGACTTTTGCTGCCCTGAATTATCCAAGGTCTTAGAAGAAACGCTTTGTTTATTAAGCAGTAAATTCCACAGGTAGGAGAGATTAACAGCTCCTGGAAATCAAGGGCATTTGTGTACTCTGTTTTTCATAGGCACACATTTTAATGCCTTGATTTTACAGAAAATGTACAGTATATGTAAAGGTAGAAATAGAATTTCTATATCTAAATAGGGACATTTACAGATAAACATATGTATTCAGTAACTTGCATTGCAGACTTTTATAGTATAGGTCTTCAGCTGAAGGGTTATGATTACACATGCCAGCAGATAGGATTGCGAGGCAGAACACAGGAGCCATAACTTTATAAAGCAAAGACCTTTCAAAGGCCTCAGACTCTCTCTTGCACATGACTGAAGGTTTCTGCTTATTGCAGTGCTGGTGGCTGCTGTGCCACATACCCCCATGGACAAGAGGAGACAGGGTTTTGTGAGGTATAAGATCATGCAACCAGCTTACCCTGAAATTGCTGTGATACTGTAGGGTGAAGGGCACAGCTGAGGGCAGAGCTCTGCTCTGCATGTCTTGTTCCTGGGACACAGCAGTTACAAGGCTTTCTGCTGTTGTCTGGCACTGAAAAAAAAGTTATCATTTAACATTTTTCCTTTCTAGACTTTCCCAAGCCCATACCTGGGGCTCCACAGCAAAGAGGAGTCTGTTAAGAATGAGGTGAATTACTTTGGACTCGGAAAGACCGATCTGAATGTTTCCATTTTCTTCAATTTATTTGGTCAGTAAACTTGGATCCATTTTTTACTTCTTCATTTCCTGGATCTGTCCAGAGTTGGAATGGTGTGAATGCTGTGAAGTAAACCATTCACTAAGTGTTTCTTGCTTAAAATATTCACTGAGACTTACACATCCTGAGATAACTGCATTTTCCAGGCATTCCAGTGAGCTGTGCAAAGCCCCCTCCCCTGCGAACTGCAATAAATCAAGGAAGGCTTTGTGTGTAGCACACTTATCTGAAACTAATTTTAAAGCCTTCACAAGTATTGCTTTTTCTCTCCCTCATTACTGTTGTTTTTAAGCGGCTGTCAGGAATTGCTGCAGATGGGAAAATAGCTTTTCTTCACCCCCTCACCCTCTGTCACCAAATATGTAATTATCAGAAGAAGCAGTTCCTGTAAAATGTGTTTTCCCATAAGAGCGCACACTTTTTGATCTGTGTTATTACAGTTTTATGTGATAAAAACAGTAAAGCATGCATAGGTTCAAATGAAAGAAGTCCTGCTAACCACAATAACATATACATTTGCTGTCTGAATTTGTAACATCATTTAAGATAGACACACAAAGGAAATTCCATGTAATTCAGGTATTATGAAAGTATATCTTGTTTCCAGGGATGTACTGGAAGGCATAAACAATCCCTCAGTAACCAGTTAGCTTAGCTAGTAAAAAGCGTGTATGCTCATAATGAACAAATAAACTACATGATGCCTGCAGCAAGAAGGATCTGAACTTGACAGTGCAGGAGATGTGTCTGGATCTGTGTTGCAGGCATCAAAAGAGAAACATAGCAGCGTTAATCCCTTTTGCACAGTTTTTTTTCTCCATGAAAAATGCTAGTAATTGCCTTTGAAGTGTCAGTGTACCACATTATGCTGAATGACTTCAGCTGCTTCGTTCTGCCTGCACGTTCCTGCCAGCACAGGGAGTGCAGGGGCAGCAGATGGGGATAGTGACATTTCTAATGGGAAGAGGTGGGGAGGGAAGGAAGGGAGGGCAGCTCATGTCTGCAGAGCTCAGGGCAGAGAGAAGAGGAGAAAGGAAATTTGGAAACTCTCCTTGCTGCTGTTAGAAATGACTGGACTTTGGAAGTCCTAGAAAATAGTCACTTGTGCACACATACTTGTCACAGGGGCCTTGATGCATGGCTGCTATAGACTGGTATGTTCATAACCTCTTTTCTTCAAGGTACATTTTACTACTGGCAAAAAGAAACCTTATACATATACATATACATATACATATACGTATACATATATGTATACGTATACATCTACATATACATTCACATAAACATACACATAATCATACATTTAATATATATACACACATACATGCACACACATATGCACACATGTATGTATTTGGCCAGATAATATATAACAGCTTTCCAAAGCTTCTGAGTTAAAAAAACACAGAGTTTTTTAGAGAGGGACTTTAGCTTAAACAGCTGCCTTAGCTACAGGTGTTGTGGTTTTGAATTTTAATGTCTTACTAACATAATTTCTTACTGACATATATTTTAACTTTGTAAATTATAATTTTATTTTAGTGCTTTTGGTTATATAAAAAGCAAATGGGAGAAAGTATGGAGTAAAATGATAAATACAATTTCAGATTTGAAAATATGGAAGAGAATAAGGGAGAACGTATAAGTGGGGTAAACAGTTGCAGCAAATATACAATCAAACACAAGATGTTTGAAATATTTATAGACAAAACATTGCAATATTGGTGAGTCAGACACTAATATTAGGTTTACTTGAAAGAAGAGACTTTCTCCATTCTGTCAATACAACAAGGATGAGTAAGATACCATAATTCTGTTAGAAGAGTTACACTCACCATAAGCTCAAGGTATTCAGCAATTACAATTATAATGATCTGGGTTTTTAATACTTGGATTACAATGGTGCCTTCTGTAAGAAGCTTTTAATAAGAATTGTTGCTTCCCTGCTACATACTTTATAAATATTTATGAAATTAGTAAGATAATATTTTAAGGGTTCTTTGAAATGTGAATCATGGCCAGATTCAAAGCATCTACTAAGCATCTAGCCCCAAGAGAATGACCCAGAATCCCTTAATTCTGCAGTGAGATTTTTTGACACCTCCAAAGAACAACCCATAGATCCTATGCGATGAAGGGACTGGTTTGGAGCAGTGCAAGGTAGCAAGGGATGGCAGACAAACCAAATTCATTCTTATTTTCCAGTGCAATTTCCACTGTAATTCTTATTTCAAAGCACTAGCAGGCTGAAAAGCATATAGCGTAACACAGTAAAGTATGTACCAGAATCTAAGCACACGGATTTCACTGGAATACCAAGCTGAAAATAGAGCCAGATGCCTAGCTGTGGTGGGTCTTGACCATACGTATTGTTTGGATATTTAAATTGATGTTACATGGATTTGACATCAAATTTAGTCTATTTTGCAACAGTCTCACACATTTCTGAGGAACAACACACTGACCATACTTCCGTGTAATATAAGATGCTAGGCAAATTAAGCTATCTTATTTTCCACCACAATAAAGTACGTGGCTGTTATCAAAAAGGTTGTAACACAAGAACATCATTGCGATCTCTACAGCAAATCACTGACCCTTTCAGTGACTACTTTCTCTATTTTTAGATTCTATCATCTGAAGTTTGAGAAACTAAGCAAAAAGCAATACACTTCGAGGCATGTTGCCTTAATGTGCACTGCAGTCAGGTGGAAACTTTTCAGTCTGCCATCTCTTGGTGGGACTGGAGGGTTTTCCAGTTTCCCAGAGGTCATTCACAGGAATCACTGTAGACTTGTGGACCTCAGGAACATAGAATCATAGAATCATACAACATCAGTGTCACTCCTAGATGGACTGGGGTGGTTACTACCAGCCAACACCCAGCACCTTCTTTTCTGTAGGGCTGTGAGCCTTCCCCACAGTATAGGTCTGGTC